TTGTAGGATATTGTGAATCACATTAAAATATACAAAATGAATAATTAAATTATTCGACAGTTATATCTGTTTTGAGTATTAATTATAAATGCAAAAAGATAACGAATTGCATAAAATTTTTATTTTATTATATGACAGATAAATTTAACTTTGAAAAAGGAAGAATGTAACTACACAAAAAATTCTGTGAATTTTAATTAAGAAGCTATATTTAAGAAACTATGTTTATAAATTTACATTAAAATTCCAAAAATTAATTATTGTAAATGTTTCTTTATTAAATATGGAATATACCATACGTTCTTTAAACGACATACATAGATACTCGTTGTCTACAAAGATGGTATCTCATGCATAATTTATGTTGCTTATATGTAGACATACTCTCTTAACCCCTTAGCGATATGCCCAGAAAAATTTTTCATGGTAAAATATAAAATTCCTTTCGATTTACCTAAATTATTGCTCGCACCATAGCAAATACAAATGAAAATTAGACATATCTGTACATATGTATTCTATTTTCCAAAATTATTCAAAGAAAATAGTAATAAAGAGAAAAAATCGAGATAGAAGAAGGGGGGAGAGACTTTAAAAAAATCTGACCTGAGGAAGAAATAGAATCAATAAAAGAAGTATTTCACCAATAATCAGTGAATATTAACTGATTTTCGGTGAAAATAATCATTTTACCGCTTCATCTTATATCTCATTGATTTTGAATAGTAAATGTGTATAAGATTTTACTCCAAAAGCTCTACGGTACACAAATTCGTTATGCACTGCACCAAAAGAAACTTCCTGCGTTTGCAGCGATGGAATTGACGACTTCCATACGCCTTGCATGCGATCATAGTGTCTGTGTTTGCAAAGTGCCTCAATAATAGAAACAGTCTCTATTATTAACTCCTTTCAGCGAGGTTTTACTGATTGCAATGTTATACTTATATCTGAAATACGATTTCAGTAAACATTGATTATACTTTAGAGAGTAAAATATCATAAAATACACGTAAACCTCTAACTCTATTCACAATTAAAATTGAGAACAATAAATGTCGCTGGTCTTGCAAGAAAAACTAAGTTTTTCCACTAAGTAAGTCCAGTATATCAATAACTAATTCCCGATTCTATCAATGTTAATTGAAGCTCTTAATTTGAGTTTAAACTTTCAAACAAAGATTTAAACTCACTTAATCAACGTTAAATTTGATCACTTTAATCAACATTGGTAGAAACCAGAATCCTCACTTCGATCGATTTTTCGAATGCACGTTTAAACGTTTAGCTCATGTCCGTTTAGAAACGCCTGATGAAAACGTTTCGATATAACTAAACGTTTAATTATCTAAACGGATTCAACAATCAGTGTATTCTTCACTAAAATGCTATACTTATAACTGGTGACTCAGTCAAAAGTATAGCACTACAGTCAGTAAAATCTCCCTGAAAGAATCAGTTGATTGTAACGATTGCTTCTATTGATGCAGTTTACAAACACAGATAGAGTTATTGCATTCAAAATCGTATGGAAAACGTTACAATTTTATCGTTACAAATATAGAAAGCTGGATTTGACATAGCATATAACGAATTTGTAGTGTACAGATTTTGCAACGACATCTTACCACTGGTCAAAATCAGTAAAATGTAATGTGAAGCAGGAAAGCAGGAATGTTCCCATTGAAAATCAGTGGATATTCACTGATTACACAGGTCTTCATAGTTTTGATGTTTGAAACGCAACAGTTTCCTACATAATTTTGTGCGTTAAATTCGAATCTGACCTCAAAATTTGCCTATTGCGTCAGGTTTCTCAGATAAATTAAGTTAAATATGTCAAAAGTGACAATTTTAGCCAACTTCATACATTTATTTTAGAGACACCGCTTTTTTGGAATATTTCTGTTAATATCATAGTAGTAGTCTTCCCCTTTAAAATCCATTTTTAATTGTCTTTGCACGATATTTTATTCCCAGGATATACCACTTTAAAGATATTAAGATTATAAATGGATACATATATCCAAGGTAAAAGAATATCATACATATCTATAGTATCCAATATCCAATGACTCTACATATATATGTGTATATATATATATATATATATATATATATATATATATATATATATATATATATTTCTTGATTTCTTGATTTTTTATTTCTATCTCGATTAAAATATAAATATCAAATTTTGATAATCTTTCCGAGAGTCATAAGCAAAAGAAAATATGCCGGATAAAATTTATTCATGTTTAGATTATATATATATATATATATATATATAAACTTGGAACTCAAAAATCCAAAAATCCCAATTCTCCAAAACCTAAAAACACAGTAAATCTAAAATACAAAAAGTCGAAAATGCAGAAAAACTGAAACTCTAAAAATTCAGAACTTATAAATCCCAAATCCATAAATCCAAAATCCATAGGCCCAAAATTTATAAATACAAAACCCATAAACTTAAAATCCATAAAACCGAAACTTATAAACTTAAATTAGAATAATTAGCCAATTGTATTATATATTTGTGTAATACTTGTGTCAGCCAATTATACTACTTTTGATATCGTACAAATGTTAAAGTAATCTCAGAAACAAAATATCATACGGGAACGATTAAAACTGAATTTTAAAGGAGAAGATTGGTACTATGCGATGACATTGTCAAAAATTTTCAAAAAAATTTGGGACCTCTAAAATAAATTGATCAAAATCGTCCTAAAAAACCTAACGTGATCAGCAAATTCTGAGGTCAGATTCGAATTCAACTCACAAAATTATTTACGAAACTACGTCGTTTGCTTATACATGTCCTTAAGATCCTCAGGTCTGTATTATCCATGAAATATTTCTTTTACTTGATTTAATCAGGATTTTTTAATTTAATTTTAACATTTTATATTTGTTTTAAAATAACTCTCTACACGACTACGAATAGTGCGAGAAAGCATATACAGTGTGATGTCAATCTAATTGTCTTTCTTAGCTTGTACAATTACCAGAAATAGCTACTCTTGCTTCTGTTTAAAAGATAAACAGATATACAAAGTTTTCAAAAGTATGTGCAATCGCGATTACTATACGAATCTATAAATATATATACTAATAATATATGTTAAAACATTTTTCGTTTAAATATGTAATATGGAATTGTATTAACATGCAATAGCGGGATGCCGATAATTGAATGTTTTAACCTACGTAAAGATGTTAAATTACCATTAAGTTCAAAATGACAATTACTTACGGAAAAATAACGGTAAGATAGTAATTTTGGTAAAATTCGTTGTTTTTAATAATTTAATGCGCAAATATTCGTGTTAATGCAAATAAGATAAAACAACATTCTTCTTATGCTCTCTTATATTTTCATCAAATATACAGGGTGTCTCACACTCTCCTCCGGGCATTTTGTGGGGACGTAGAACAGGTTTGGGTGAACATAAAAATCCTATACCGTTTTGCGATATTCGCAATAATTATCGAGATATTAATTGTAGAAAACTTGTAAATGATCATGCAGAATATGGTAAATGAGTTACAGTAGCGACGACTGCCGTCATGTACTTATACTTTAGGTCAAATTGAACAAAAAAGTCTTCTACTATTTTGCAAATAATCATATAGATTTTTAATTATTAATTAAAGAAGATAAGTGCATTATCACGCAAAATCGTACAATAATCTTCTTTAATTAATAATTAAAAATCTATGTGATTATTTGGAAAATGGTAGAGGACTTTTTTGTTCAATTTGACCTAAAGTATAAGTACACGACGGCAGTCGTCGCTACTATAACTCATTTACCATATTCTGCATGATCATTTACAAGTTTTCTACAATTAATATCTCGATAATTATTGCGAATATCGCAAAACGGTATAGGACTTTTATGTTCACCTCAACCTGTTCTACGTCCCCACAAAATTCCCGGAGGAAAGTGTGAGACATTCTGTATATCTGATAAGCTCTGAAATCTCTCTCAGATAAAAGAAAGGGAACTATTTATAAATTTTCGAGAGTATTAAAGTTTTTATTTCTTAAAATATTACTAAATATTTTCAATTATATACCACGATGTAGTCGCTAAAACAACAAGATAATAAATAGAAATGTTGTAAATTTGTAAGACAATATAATAATATAAAAATATATCATTCTAATATTATAGAACCTAATATTATAGACCAATTTTTTAATTTCGCTGAAATTACGTATATAGGGACTTTGAGTCGCCGATTACGAATCTATAAAAAAATTTTTCAAAATTTAAAATGGTGGATCTAATATGACGGGCTAATTTCTTTACGAAAATTATGATTTTCGCCGAATTAATGTATATAGGGGTTTTTGATGGCCGATTACAAATCTAATCTCCAATTTTCATAATTCAAGATCGCGGACCAATTTTTTTACAAAAATTTTTATTTTTAATGAAATGATGTATATAGAAATTTTTGGATCGCCGATTATGAATCTAAAGTCTAATTTTCAGAATTCAATATAGCGGATGTAATATGGCGGATCAGTTTTTACGAGAATTGTTATTTCTGACTGTTTCATTATAAATATTGTATTTAAAATGTTATGATTATTTCGTATGAAATTTTGAACAAAAATAGTTTTTATTTTGGATGCACAAAAGAATATTGCATAGACAAATCATTATATAAATTAATCCGCCATATTATGTTTATATCTTGAAAATGGGATAATTCATAATCAGCGACTTCAAAAACATATAAATACAAATGTTCATAAAAATCCGTTCAGTATAAGAAATATGCTTTTCAAAGAGTTAAAAGTTAAATGCTCTTTTTGAGTTTTATATTAAAATTTTGTTGTTTTTGTAATTTTGCTCTAAATTATCATTTTACCAAATTTCCAAAATTACCGAGTAATTTACCGTAATTCACCGAGTAAGTTACCGTCAAACTGGGTAATTTTCATGTCTAACTATACGTAATAACGCATCGATCTATTACCTGTATGAAAAGTAAGAAGCACACCCATTGATAATATCTGTACTCTTTCCTCTCGCTGTCAGGATACGACTTGGAGTTGTCGACGCCGGGGAACGGCACCTCCGAGCCTTCCCGCTTCCGGTAGGCCGCGGTGATGGTGTAGGTGCTGTGTATCCAACAGTACGTGTTCAGCACGTCCTCGGGCAGGTCCTTGCTGTGTATGCAGTCGATGGGGTTGCCGACGTATTGGCGGGTGGTGACGATCAGGGAAAACGATACCAGCAGGATCACCGTGAGGCTGTAGTGCAATCGGAATACGGCACTGTCGGTGTGAATATGCGAGATTTTAATGAGGCTCTTGAGACCGCGGAATATGTCCAGCATCTTGGTGCCGAATGGCACCAAGGGCGCGAAAGCGACCGGGCCTTGGTGCCGGGTGACGGCGGCTCCTCGGGATAACGCCGCCGGGAGCCGTACGTCCGCGCGTTTCCTTCTTTCCCAAATCCTACATCTTCCGCTCGACAAGTTTCCGAGTCACGTTGCGGTTCGAGGTGTCTCGCTCGCCGTCCGCCCTCTCGCTCTCGTGCGCGGCACGAATCCAGAACTCGGCACGGCGTCTCCAGGAACATCCATGAATCTTGGCCTCGCGTCCTTTTTGCGTGACTTTCCCGTGCGATGCCGCGGAATAAATAAATAAAAAAGAGAACCGCCTCACACACCCGTAGCGCTCACTTCCGCCCCGTCGTCGCCGCCGTGAGAACGTTCTTTTAATCGGTCGAGAAAATGTACCACGACGTCCCTTCCGTTCTTTGGCGATTATTATTGCACTTTGGCGAACTTCCGGCGTTTAATCGATACCGTAAACTGCGCGAACTACATTATCTCCTTATTCCTCTGACATTTGTCTTGTTTTACTGTATTGCTGTAAGTACTGTCCTCCTAAGTGGTGGTTTGTCTTTGGCATTCGAGTTTCCGCGCGCAACTTCGCGCCCACAGCCCGCACTCTTTTTCTCTTCCCTGAGAGAACAGAAATCTCGACGTTCCTTTTACGGTGTGTGACGTATTCTTCCACAAATCTGTCCCGCCTTATCGACGACTTCACGACTTTTCAGAGTTCTCTCCCGCGAAAAAGTTCGCCGTAACGCGGTTAATCGCCGTTCAATCGCGCGCGGTCGTCGTCAGTGAGATCTTTCGAGAAACTTTTCGCCGTAGTCTCCCGCCGTGCATTCTTTTCTCACTCATTCGCACTCGTTTCGGGAACTTCACATGACGGAAACTTCTCTTTCGTCGTTCGAGCACACAAGTGTTCGTGTGACATCGCCGTCCTCGGCCACGCGGACGGATTTGCCGGATTCGCGCATCCCCGCCGGTCCTTGGTCCGATGAGCAGTCTGAGGAGAAACGTCAACTTTCAGAACATCGACCTTACGATAAATTTAATCCATAAACCCATGTTATCATCTGATCAGATCGATACCAATCAATTAACATTCAGTCTGTGTACGGAGAAAATATTATAGTGAAAATGATCTTAAAATTACGTTGCTTTTTGCAATGTTTCCTGCAAAGTTAGGCAATATTAGAATTATAGTATAAATTATTATAGAAATAGTAAATTTGACGGTTTACACGATATAAGAAACTGGTACACGATACAAGAAACATTCAAGCAACTGCAATAGTTTTGTAGCGGAAAGTCAAACGTGTGTAACATTTTTAAAGAAATGTATAGTCATTTCGATTATAATTCTATATAGTTAAGATTAGAAAAATTACGTTGTAATCTTTACTACAATATTTTCTTCGTATAAGTAGATGTTGTCAGGTCTTAATCGCGCACATTACTCACATAACTCATGGCAATTCGAATTATATTAACCTTAGAACTCTCTCTCTCTCTCTCTCTCTCTCTCTCTCTATATATATATATATATATATATATATATATATATATATATATAATCTAAACATGAATAAATTTTATCCGGCATATTTTCTTTTGCTTATGACTCTCGGAAAGATTATCAAAATTTATATTTTAATCAAGATAGAAATCAAGAAATCAAGAAATTTGATTCTACACTGAGAGATACTTAAGAAATAAAAAATATTTATTCAGTAGGTATTAACAACATATACTAGTTTTACCCTGAGAAAAAAAATATTTTTCAAATAAGGAAATATACATTGTCTTAAAAGTTTAGCTTCTCTCATGAAAGTAATTATTTTATTCAAATAAAAAAAATTAGGTTTAAATAAGTATGCACAAAAAAAAGAAGATACACACATAACATACATTTAACATGAAATATTTAGTTGTGAGCAGCATACTTACAGCACCCTAATTATTTTTGCATAATGATAATATATCAGAGTTGTAAAAATATTAATTAAATTTTTTCGATGTAATAATTAATTTGTAATATATTTCGATCCAACTAGTTGACGATTGATTTAAGTAAAATCAATCAAAAAATTAATTGAGAATTGAACGAAATCAATTAAAAATCATTTAATTGACGATTGATATGAGCAGAAAATCAAAGATTGTTCGTTTAACTTAGCAAATTCAATTAAAGGCTGTTTAACTGACGACTGATATGAACAAATTAATATTTTATGTATTAACGTTTTATGTATTTTTATGTGTTTTTATGTATTTTTATTAATTTTTACGTATTTTGCGATTAAATACAGTTGTGAAAAAAAATTATAATAACAATACAAAACATGTGTTTTAAGAACGGTAACGTTTGAAAAGTTGATCTGGGTAAGTTTTACCCATGTTTAGAATTTTAGATTTAGTAATGAGGATCGTTAATAATTTGTACTCGATAACATTTTTTAGAAAGCAAATAACTGATTAGGACCATGAGTGGAACCATGATATAAATTTCTAGTCGGGATGGCCAACGTGCCGCACTTTGTCAGACACTCTAGAAAGGAAAAATTCCTTCGGACTCTCATTTCGTTATTACTATCTTGGGCGACTTACCACTAGGTAAATTACGAAACATTGCGGCGGCGCTCGCGAGATTATGCGCATTTGAACGTTTACGAGGGTCCTTCGCGGGTTTCCAAATTCCACAGCGGGATATTCTCGGAAACCGTTCGTCAAAGAGCGAAAAATCTTTACGGCGTGCCTCGCTCTCGGGCTTTCGCATATTTTGCTTCTCGTCTTACGTTTGATGTCCCAATAAAGTCATCGTAAATTCCTGTCCGTTGCCTTCGCTCTTTCTCTCTCTCTCTCCCCCTCCCCTCTTCCTCTCTCTTTTTCTTGTTTCCCTTTAGAGCCGGTTAAAGAGAGCGTGGAAGTGATTAGTCTTGCCGACGGCCCGACATCATGCACACCCGCGACTCGCAAGCATCGCTTTACGTAAGGGAGACGAAAAATGAACGGCGACGTTCCCTCGGAAAATTTCGGGGAAAACGTACAAAGATATCCGCGACCGGCGCATCTCATGTCAACACGCACATTTCTAGTCGAAAACCCAATTAAATCGAATGCATAAACGGAGAGTTAAAAAAAAAAGAAGGAAAAAAGACCCCCTCCTTTCCATGATTATCACAACGTGAGACAATCAGAATTTATAAATGTTGTAATCACGTATATGACGTAAATATATTGTACTGAATTCGTGATTAAATTTACATGCAAAGATGTTAATTTTTTATTATATTGACGCAGCAACAAATTTACTGAAAGTTACGCTCAGATGTTCATATTGTATTCTATATGACACATTGTTTTGAGTAAATTTCGATTTTTTACATTTTTTTCGTATTTTTATATGATAAATATGAGTGCTATATGAAAAATTTTGTAAAGAATACCAACTTGCGTCATTCTATAGTCAGAGAAAAGACATAATTCTGGCAGCCATAGTTAACAATTATACGAGTTTTGTACATATAACTTATATATATATATATATATATATATAGTTTTTAATAAATTATTTTGTAGTTTTTTATTGTAACTAAGATTTTTATATTATATTTTATATGTCTTTTTAGCAAATTTTAATCATTTCTTTTTATTTCTTTCATATTTTTATTTCGTCAATCTATGCAATAAGATGACTAGATTTCTAGCTCCAAATTTGGGACACTTCATAAATGTATGAAGCGAGGGACGGGGGGAGGAGAATAAAAAGATCAAAAAATTATTTTAACAATCATTGAAAATGATGACAAATCAGTGTCTCGAATAGCACTCAAAAAAAATTCAGGACAAAGGGTGAAAAATCGGAACTGTCCCGAAAAAATTAGGTCTGGTCACCTTAGTTGTATGTGTCGAGAAGGGAGGAGATTACTCCGTAATAATGTATTTACGATATGTCCTGACGACCGCACGTCGTTATTTTCGGCACTTTAATACTTATTTCCGCAGGAGACTCACAGGACACAAGCGAAAGACGTATTGAATACGGAGCGTTATGTCCATGGCAGTTGCTTGGCATGAAAAGATCGCAGACGCGCGCGCTGTCAATCACGTACACCAAAAGTTCATTAGCGCGCCGAAAGTGCCAAAAGTGCATGAATGTGAACGCCAGTGATGCGAACGAGATCGCGCGTCTACAACGACGCGATCTACGGCGGACACCTTAACCAATCGCGTTCGTTTCGCACTACGAGGTTGTCATCGTGGTTATTCAATCTAGTTGGTAATGAATCGTGCGAAATGTTCGATCTTTTCGCGCCAAGCAGCAGCCATGGGCACACATCGATCAAAATCGCTCCGCATTTCTCGCGTCTTTTATCCATCGAAAGTGAGTCTCATTAATAAGTCTCGGGAGTGTTGAGAATGGCGACGTGCGATCGCCGGGACGTGAAGACGTCATTTGTAAGTAATCTTCTCGTTTCTCCTTGCGATATATGTAAGATGACCAGATTTCGCAGCCTTGAATTCGGGACACTTCATAAATGTGTGAAGCGGGGGGCGGGGGGAAGGAGTAAAAAATCCGAAAATTATTTGACAATAATTGAAAATGATGACAAATCGGTGCCCCGAATTGCACTCGAAAAAATTCGGGATAAAGGGTGAAGGTTAGGCGACAGTTTCCCGAAAAATGAAGGGGATAATGTTGGTACCAAGGAAAATCTCTAAATGATTAAGAAATGATTAGAAATGATCTCACAATATGATTTAAAGATTCTGTTCTTTGTAACTGCACTGCTAAATTGATGCAATAAATTGAAATGAGGCAAATATACGTTTTCTCACTCTAACCTTTTGTATTAGTTTAGCAGTGCAGTTACAAAAAACAGATCTTTAAATTATATCGTGTAAAGATTTCTTTTGGTACCAACATTATCCCCTCCACTTTTTGGGAAACTGTCGCCTAACCAGGGTGAAAAATCGGGACGTCTGGTCACCTTATAAATATAAGCATTATATGAATTATTCATAAAGGATGTTATCTTTACAATTGATTAGTAAATTTGTTGCTAAATTTATGTGGACCTATTGGATAATTTATTTGAAAGTTCTAATGTCGAAATTCTTAAAAATATGTCAACTTGTTCGATACTTTATATGATAAATATAAATTTTATACACTAAGAGAAATGATCCAGTACAAAATTAACAGATATTTCTGATTAAATTCTGATCAATTTTTATATCCGATCAAGATATTCGATCAAATTTTATCGGATACTTCCGATCATAATAGCATTTCATCAGATAAACCAATAAAAAAATCATTCACCGGTTTCCATCAGATGTTCCCTAATCGAATACAAAAATCCATTAGTATTTTGATCGGAAATATTCGTTTGTTAATTTTTTATCGGATGATTTCTCTCAGTGTATGAATTAAATATACGAATATTCAAGCAGCTACAAATTTACTAAAAGTTACATTCAGATTTTCAAATAGCATTTTATATGACATATAGTTTTTAACAAATTTTGATATTTCGTATTTCTTTTATATTTCCATTTCGCCAGTCTATATGATAAATATGAGCGCCATATAAAGCGCGCATAAGGGATGCGACCAGTCTAATGTCGCTGCCAAATTCACGCACACCTATCTATCTGGGAACGGGAGAAAAAACAGGAAAAAAACTGCCGCCACCGTTCATCACGAGATATCTTTCCGCTCACGAGAGCTTTCGCGATTCGCTCGCCCGGCAACCGCAAATAAACCCGGTGCGCGACGAGCGATTCAATCAGTTCGCACACGGCGAGGAAAATCCGCTTACGCGCCCCGCGGCTCGATTTTAATTCCGGCCGACGAATTCGCGGACGAACCTCGCGCGTTTTACAGCTCTCCCGGGGGCGGCCGGGGAGCGTCGCGTCGCTCGCGATTTGCTTCCGATTAATTTCAAGATCAAGTGCGAGCCCGCACTCTCTCAGTCGCCGACTAATTCCCGCGGTGAAACATCCGCCCTGCCCCGTGCGAATCCGCGTCCCCCGTCTCTCTGCGTTCGCCCACTCGCTCGTGTGAAGCCGGCGAAATTATTGCGCGCGCCCGCGCAATACTTGGCGCTAAACTTGGCGACTGCACTTCGCGCCCGCGGAATTTAAGTAATTCGCTCGCCGGGGGAGAGAGATATTGTTATGTGCACTTCTCGAGACGCTCGCGCGCCAGTGCTTCTTTGTCGGGCTTGCGAGAGCACAAGGGTCTCCTTTGACTCAGCGAAGTTGTGTGTGCTGTTGGACCCGTGCCAAGACAGGATGCGCTCTCGCTGTAACCATTTTCGAGTTGAAATGTGTTTTTGGGAAAATAAAACATTTTACACTTGTTTCCGCGCCCGTCCGTCCGGACGCTCACTCTCGCTCGCTCGCTCACATGGACATCTCGACGATGTTTTAACGCGGCAGCTGCTGCATGAAGATTGGGAAAACGTCGAGCGTGCCAAAATTATCAAATACTTCAAAACATAGAAAAACTACCCATGCCAGAAAACATTAATGAAGCTCTCATTAAAAGCTAAACATGGAATCTAAATATTCCTCGATTAGAGCCCCCCTCTCTCTCTCTCTCTCTCTCTCTCCCTCTCTTTCTCTCTCTCGCTCTTTCTTTCTTGCTCTCTATATAAAATTATTTTTCTTTGATATTTTCATTTTTTAACTTATATACAAATGTAAATTTTGACATAAGTAGATGTGTGGCAGCGATATCTAAACATTCCAATATGCAATTAAATCCAATTCAGCTTAACTCTACAACATCTACCAGTCGTAATAATACTCAATCAACTGCTCAAACAGACTTTGATGATTATTACGATGTGAGAATAATCGATGATGAAAACTGTACAAATTGTTTTATCGTATTTATGAAGCAAATATACTTTTATAGAATTAATCAATAAATTTACTATAATAATAAACCATACATTAATGCAACTTTTTCGTTATATTGAGGCAGAAACGAATTTATACTAAAAATTATATTCAGATTTTTGTGTCACATTTTACATAACATATTGTTTTGACCAAATTTCGATAGCTTTGTTTGTATTTCTCTTTTGTGCTTTCTTAATTTTATCAGATAAATATATATAGCATATGAATCATTTATTATTTACAATTACAACATTACAAATTAACTAAAGCTGCTGCCAAATTTATATCTATCTGCATGAATAAAGAATGTTATAGTAAAAATTATTATAGTATTTTGTAATTAAAGAATAGATCAAAATTCTGTAATAATTGATTATCTTTTTATACGTGCTATTTATATATGTTTTAGGAACTGAAATGTATCATTAAAAAATTTATTACGTTTGTTACGAAATTTGCTATGTTCCTCATATCCTTATATGGACTTTATATCCTCAGATGGACTTTATATCTTCAGATGGACTGATAGTCAATATTTCTGCATTAAAAACATAATAAAATCAAACTGAATTCATATAGAAAAAGAAAAAAAATTATGATATATTTTCTCTCTGTATAGGTTTGCTCTTTTTTTTAGATCTATAAACGCACATCTACATTTTTGCCTTTATTTTTCTATTTTTTCTTCTTTCTCTTTTCTTTGTTTTCTTAATTTTGTATATCTTGCTTAGAGCAATTTAACTAAAACTTAATTAAACTCAATTATACATAAATTTATATCATATATCTTTAAGATATTTGTATAATATTTTCGCCGCGACTATCTTGATTCATAGTTGCAAAAGAGCGAGAAAATTCTTGCAGAAAATACGATGAAATAAAATTATATGTTCACAAACGACAATCGATCGAACAGATCCTTAAAATAGTCCTTTCCTTTTTCTTTAACAATCAATAAATCGTGAAAAATTAACGTGATAAAATCATAAGAAAACAGTAACAAAAACAGGTTGATGTCCCGTTAATTTTACGGTAATTTTTTTATTGTCAGTGCAAAAGGAAAGAATATTTTACAAATGTGCTCAATCAATTTCAAAATTCACCGTATGGACACATCCTTCTTCAGCGTATTTCGCAAGAATTTTGAACGCCCGTATTTCCACGGCGAGGGACCAGGAGTCTGAAAGAGTTTCCTAAGACAAACAAATGCCTCTCTCCATCTCTCTCACTCTTTCTCTCCTTCGCCGAAAGGGACCGTGCAGAGATTGACAAGAGAGTTAGAATAGATCGCACTTTGTTAATTTTTACGCGAACTTCCGCGATCTGTTTATTGACCTGTTACTCGCTCGTTGACGCGCGAACCAGAGCGTTCCCGCGCTGAGGAAGAATTGTCCATACGGAACCGCGGATGATAAATCGATTAGAGCGTTACGATCCGCGCGTAACTTTAATTTCGCGCGCCTGATGATGCCGGGCGCAGCGCGCTTTTCCGCTCTGCCACGTGGAAAACGCGCATGAAATTCAACGACGCGGCCTTATCGATTCATGCGACTCCCTTGCCGTCCCACCAATTAGCTGCCAATTTCCTGCGCGGCCGATGGACAAGCGCAGATAAGGCTAAAACTCGAACATATTAACGTCGTTCCCGAAGCGGAAATCCGCTGTCGCGCTTTTCTTATTCGCCCTCGCGGAGATGAGCATCGAATGCGCCGCCGCCGTCGCCGCCACCGTCGCCGCCGTCGCGGCGTAAATACGACGCGCAACGTCGGGAGGAGACTTTTTCCAGATGCGGCTGAGCGATAGGGGAGCATCGCGGGATGATAAGTGAGGCAAGTGGTAACCGGGCGGCTACGGGCGAGGCGCGCACACCGGATCTCGCGAAGTCTCGGCCGCGAAATGCTCGGGGGGAGGCCTGCTTTATTTATAACCGACGAGGGGCCTCGTCCGCGCGTA